AATCACTAAGTTGTAATTTTTATATGCAATATACACCTCAATAAAATTGTTTTAAAAAAAGATACAGTTTTTTTTTTAAAGCAGAAACACTGGTATATCTAAGGACACAAAACAATGAATTTTAGATAACTATACTTTTTTGAGAGTCAAAAGTTTATCAATCAAAATGATAAGAATTAAAACTGTATCTTCTCGAATATGTTCATATATTATAATATGACCAATGTACATATGTGAGTAAAGGATGGTGACATCAAAAGTGACAAAATATTCTATATGTGAAAATAATTATAGTGCTAAAAAACTAACTCATTGTAGTAGTAATTAAGGGAGCCTGGTTACAATTAAGTAAAGGAAGGATATTAAAACTTCCAAAAGATATTTCTATAAGCCACAACAGAAGAACAGAGCAACAGAATAAGTAGAACCACATCCAAACCCACTTCCTTGTTATTTACCAATATCATCTAAAGAACACGGTTTAAATGCTGATGTTAGTTGTCTTGACTGGACAAATTTAAATCATATTCAGACTTAAAAAAAAATCAAAAGAATTTTTGACAAGGGTTAAAAGTTTATAGCCCTAAAACTATAAAAAAATTTGGTGCCCACTACAAACCACATCCTGGCAATTGTCATGTCTCTACAATGAACTACTTGAAATGGTTTTGTTGTGACTGAGGCAATCATTTCTGAGTTAATAATCAGCTACTATTCAAATCGAGTGTAATTTGTCTTTCTTACACTAGATCACTTTTAAGAAGACTATAACAATTTCATTTTTAGCCACAAACATTGAATGTTATAATTATTCACTTGTCATTCTATGTAATATAACCAAAATGAGTAGAAAAGGGTGTTTTTTACTACTGCATGAAATTGTATCCATTTTCCAGGCAGCTAGAATTAAGTTTAAATGTTACCTGCTTAAGGCAAGTGAACATTTATATTTTAAAAAATAATATTTTTTAATTTAAAAAAAGGTGAAGTTTCCTGTTATGCTTTTTTGAAAAGTATCTAGAAATAGCACTCCTTATTTACATAAAGCAGATTTTAATCATGTTGTGTTTGGTTTTTGGATCTAGACTCTATAAGCGTTATCTTAAATTGAAAGGCAAATTGAAGTCAGTCAAGGTTTATCTATTAGGAAAAGTTATAATAATTCTGATAAAATTATGTTATTAGCCAACTTTTTAATCTCAGCACATTACTAACACTGAAGTATTTTTTTCAATAACCTAGTAAAATTAATGCTTGTCATCAGCAAAATACTTTCTAATTTACAAAGTATTTTCCACATCCTTTCTAATTTACAAAGTATTTTTCACATCCTTTAATGCATTACATCCTAAAAACAACCCTATATATTAGGGTAGTAAATACTTGTGGATGCTTCCCCAACATCCATTTTCCTCTCTTCTTGCCAAAAAATAACCATGCCATTCTTTGGAGGAACTACCTGTCCCCCAGTTTCAGCCATACAGTCTGGGTAGAGTTTACCTGATCTTTAGTAACAGGGATTACTTAAGCTGCTCAGTGTATTTTATCTTTCAGGCCCCATTTATCACTTTAGGAATGGTCATTTAAACAGTGAAATTATGGTCATGTTTTCTGGGACTTCTAGGAAAGGGAACTTCCTTTTTCTCTCATAGGAACTACTGTAAGATTATGAAACTTTCTGGAATAAGATGGTGTAAGAATCTAAGATCCGGCTGGATGCAGTGGCTCACATCTGTAATACCAGCATGTTGGGAGGCCAAGGCAGGAAGATCCCTTAAGGCCAAGAGTTCGAGACTAGCCTGGGCAACATAGTCAGACCTCCCCCATCACCAAAAAGAAAATATAAAAATTAGCCAAGCATAATGCTATATGCCTGTAGTCCCAGCTATTAGGGAGGCTGAGGAAGAAGGATTGTTTGAGCCCAGGAGTCTGAGGTTGCAGTGAGCTATCATCACACCACGGAATTCCAACCTGGGCAACAGCATGAGAAGCAAAATATAAGATCTGAAACCAAAACTGTTACAACCTTAGTTCCACATATGGAAGGATAGAAAAAGGAGATGGAGAAGGAAGAAGGCCGAGAGCATAGAGGAGAAATGAAAACAAGAAAGAAAAGAAAGATGAGAGAGAAAAGAGGAGAAAAGATATCCCCAGGCTAGACAAGGGCACATGAGAAGAAACAGAGGCCAGAGACAAGGAATAAGGCAGAGGCAAAAAGATAGAGTAAAACAGAGCTAAGGATGCAGTAGATCCAGAGAGTGAAAAAGTTCTTACCATGCATTGCCTTGCATGTCAGGTAAGCTGTAGAATAAATTATCTTTTACAACTGCCTTTTGAAGTTCTCTAACCACTACTCACAGCCCAGAAGCTATTCTGAACAGGGCAGCTGTAGCAAGTATATAAAGAGACATATTCTTTGCCTTAAAAGACCATCACCTAACAGAATTTATGGACAAAGAAAAAGAACTCCTGCTGGGCACAGTGGCTCTGGCCAGGCGCAGTGGCTCATGCCTGTAATCCCAGCACTTTGGGAGGCCGAGGCAGGTGGATCACTCGAGGTCAGGAGTTCGAGACCAGCCTAGCCAACATGGTGAAACCCTGTCTCTACCAAAATATACCAAAAAAATTAACCAGATGTTTTGGCACATGCCTGTAGTCCTAGCTACTTGGGAGTCTGAGGCAGAAGAATCACTTGAACCTGGGAGGCAGAGGTTGCAGTGAGCTGAGATCGTGCCACTACACTCCAGCCTGGGCAACAGAGTAAGACCCTATCTAAAAAAAAAAAAAAAAAAGACGGATAGATAGTTAATGAGACTTAAATATACTAATATTTTGGCAATCTGAGTTAACTGTAGTACAACAGGCCAAATCACTGTTACTGTGTTTGCCGAAAACAAATCATCTCATCATTAGCTGTTTATCGAGTACTTATCCTAATTCTAATGGTTTACTACCTTTTCTCATCTTCCCTGGCAAACCTAAAGGTTACGAGACATTCCCATTGGTAATAGTATTTCTCACATTGATCTCAAAAGATTGGAAAAGCTAAACTTTAACAAAGGCTGGGCTGGGCATTAAGGATATCATGGTAAGCCAAAACACTGTCCCAGCAGTCATAGAACTTACAGTCTCAGGGAGAAACATGGACAATAAAAATAGACATACACATGCACACACACACACACCAAAAAGGATTGACTATATAGCTGTGTGTATATGCATGAGTTTGCACTCATTGTGCCTTCACTTTGAAGCAACCCTGCCGGTGATTCCACCTTCCCCACCCTTACTCCCAGGGAAACACACGCCTTCACATGGTGAACCACTAGTTAGATGCTAGAACTGAATTAAACTCTACAACACTCATTTAAACAATACAATACTCTTTATAAATTATAGTAAAGCAGTATAAGTAAAAATCAGGAGATCTAAGTAGGGTCCCAGCTCCAGGACCTGTTACATAATCTGTGAGTCCTGGTGTAAATACAAAACTGTAGGGCCTCCTATTAAAGTTATTAACAAATTCCACACAGTGACAGCAAAACATTTAACTAAGCCCAGGGCCACCTGGGACTGCACAGGTCACACGCCCATGAAACCTTCATGGCTTCCGTACCTATTGGGTGTGCAACTTTTATTCAGTTGCTTACCCTACTTCAGGTTCCTTACAGCTTAAAATTTAGGGAAGAAAAGACTTTCTGCACCTTCCTATAACTAACATCTATAGTTCTCTACTAAGGAGTGAGACTATTCATTTGAAAAGAGCTCTTTTACCTTTTTTATAGAAACATTAAAATTCTGACTGAGACTCAAAGCTCCTATTATATAAAAACCCATATGTAATATTTCATTTTCAACCATATTGATGTTTTTTATTTCTATACACCTCCTTAATTTTGCCTAAGAGGAAAAAATGTCCAAAGCTGTGTTCCAAGTTTACTATTTTCCCATGTATGCCTTTTAAATCTGAAATTCCCAACTGGGGTCTCTATGTCTAGAAAGTAGTTTTTCCCACAGTAAAATGTCTCCTTGCACAAATCAGATATTTTCTTTTTCTATCACAGAAAAATTATCTATTCAGAATCAACTTCCACATATGGTACAGCATCTGGGTCTGATCCAGTGAAAAGGCAAAATGTCATTTTGACAGTGAGTTAACCCTTTTATTCCCTCAGTTAAGTATTTAGCACAACATAACTGATAACTATGGAAACCAGGAATTCTTAATCTGGGGCCTATGGACAGATTTCTGGGAGTTAATGAACTCGAGTAAAAAAAAAAATTATATCTTTATTTTCATCAACCTCTAACTAAACTCTAGCACTTTCTTCCATTATAAATGTAGGTGACAAACCATAGCAGTACCTATGACTTGATCACAAATAAATATTATACATATCTTTGTATCATATTACTACAGATATCGTGAAATACCATTTATGCTCAATACAACTTCAAAATTGTAATAGTGTTATACCCACTATTAGATATTGTGATTTAATGTGTTAGTAAAAATTATATGTATTTTTATAATGCAAAACTGATTTTTCCATTGAATATATTTCAATATAACTGGCTTCCTTTGCAATCCTAAGTACCTCATGTTACGTGTTCAAAAACACAATTGCAGGGAAAGGTCCAGGCTTCACCAGACTACCAAAGGGATCCATGACACATAAAAGGTGAAGAAACAAGTCAAAAGAAGTTGTAGAGCACATGCGAAGCAACTATATCTCTAGTCTCACAAGACGCAACAGACACATTCTAGTAAAAACAGCCTGGAAAATTTGAGTTCAACAACGATGTCGACATTATAACAAAATCTTCATAGTCCGCATATTTTAATATGAAATCAAGTACATCAAAGCAAAGCAGTTTTTGTTGTTGTTGTGTTGGTTTTTGTATTGTTTTTATACATGTAACCAGAGAATTTGATCTGAAAAGGTATAACCCAGACACAGTTTTTATAACATTATCTGAAATGTTATTTGGATTGTTACCTGGGATGACAGTAGGTTGCAATCAATGAACAGTCCTTTCCCAGTTTTGTATTTTTGTATCAATCCAGCCATAATAGCTCCATATGCGTATAAGCCTGTGGCAAGATCAGTCATGGCTACTCCTGGGCGAACCGGCTCTCCATCCTGATTTGAAGGTTGGGTTTAAAAAGAAGAAATAATTAAAAATTAAAAGAATCATATGATTTCTCAAATCTTCTAATGTGAAATAGAAAAAAAAAGAATTGTCTATGAACTGTGCAGACACATACACACAAAAACAAGCTAATAAATTGCCATTGTGAATATCTGTTCATAATAGGAAAATATTTATATTTATTATATACTTCTCAGTGTATTTCTCTCCCTAACCCCTACTAATCAAACTAAACCAAAGTAAAAATAAAAGATTTTTTAGAAACCAATCTGATGTTTCAAATATTTTAAATTCCTTCTTGATATATTTTATCTTGTTTATACTAAAAAAAAAATAATTAGTTGAATTTAAATGAGTTAATTTGCTGGGGAGAAAGTTAAAACAGTGTTTTTCTCCTATTGGGTGAGAGACACTCTCACCAAAAAAAAAAAAAAAAAAAAAAAAAAAAAAAAAAAAAGGGTTATAAAATCTGGTCTAACCTCCTTATAAGCATGCCAATAGCTGGCAAAAAATACTAATGGGCTTAATAATTTTAAAAAAGACTACTTATCCATAAAAAGATTTTGCTGACTGCACGTGAATTAGGATTACTCTGATAAACAAACTGTGAATCTACAGGTTTATGGGACGTGGAACACGGGGCACAGAGCATGAGCTTTGCAACTACCTGGGTATAAAATGGAGATGTTTCACAGCCTATAACACTCCCTGCTAGTAACTCAAATATTTCATTAAGGACCTCATCTACTGCTTTGCACTGCAGAGTTTTATCTGTTACAGTAAGAAAGGAGCCAGGGGCCTCTCTCAATGTCCCGGACCTGTCTCTGCTTTTCCTGAGCTTTTTGATTGCTTATATTCTTGAAATTATAATGAAAGCTAAATATTGATCAACATCTCCACTTCATGTCAGTCTGATTTGACAATCCAATTCTTGGCCCATGTGTAAAGATGTCAGGATAGTACTTGACACAAAACAAAAATCACCTATCAAAATTATCATCAACATTATTATTAGTTATTGATATATCAGATAGTTTTTACTTGTCACTACCTTTCATTCTGCTAAGACTTGAATTGCACAAAATAAATAAAAAACTCACATTTCACATTTCACCTGGTTGACACATTCATTCAATCACCTCCTTATTAATTAATTCCAGCTTCTGTTGAATCATTTTCAAAAGTTAATTTGTCCTATTTTGTAGCCCATCATAAGCCATGTTAATTGTTTTCCAAAAGTACTAAATAATGTTTAAAGCCAGTAACTGAGACTATATAGTGGCTAAACTTATTTTTCCCTGCTTTTCAATACAATTTCAAGGACGATATTGCCATGAAACTTGGGAATGTCTGGCAGCCTTCTATTATTATTGCCAAAAGTTGTAATGTAATGCCTTAAACCAATACATTTAAAATTAAATTTGTCATTAGAATTTAAGATTAAATTAAAAGTGAGAGACAAGTTCAAAGTTACATTCACCCTTGAACAACAACGTTCTGAACTGCATGGATCCACTTATACGTGGATTTTTTTCAATAAAAGTTACCCTAAAGTCCTGCCACAGTGCCTCACACCTATAATCTCAGCACTTTGGAAGGCCGAGGTAGGTGGATCACCTGAGGTCAGGAATTTGAGATCAACCTGGCCAACATGGTGAAACCCCATCTCCACTAATAATACAAAAATTAGCCAGGTGTGGTATATACATGTACCTATATTCCCAGCTACTCACAAGGCTAAGACAGGAGAATTGCTTGAACCAGGAGGCAGAGGCTCCAGTGAGCTGAGATAGCACCACTGCCCTCCAGCATGGATAACAGAGCCAGACTCCATCTCAAAAAAAAAAACAAAAAACTACCTTATGACCTAGCAATTCCACAACTGGGTAAATATCCAAGAAAGAAGAAAATCAATAATGAAGAGATATATGCACTCCCATTTTTATTGCAGCACTATTGACAACAGTGGAAATATGGAGTCAACTTAAGTGTCCATCACTGGTTGAATGGATAAAGAAATGTGTCCAGCTACAGTGGCTCATGCCTATAAATCCAAACACTTTGGAGGCCACGCAGGAGGATCACTTGAGGCTGCGAGTTCAAGACCACCCTGGGTGACATAGTAAGATCCTGTCTCTACCAAAAAATATAAAATTTAGCTGGGCATGGTGATACACACCTATAGTACCAGCCACTTGGGAGTCTGAGGTGGAAAGACCACTTGAGTGCAGGAGTTCCAGGCTCTGCAGTGAGCTATGATCATGCCACTGCACTCCAATCTGGGCAAAAGACTGAGACCCTGTTTCAAAAACAACTGCAATGTGACATATATTATATTATATTATATTATATTATATTATATTATGTATTATATAACAGAATATTATTCAGCCATAAAAAATTAGCTGGACAATAAATCAATTCCTGTCATTTATAACAACATGAATGTAACCAGAGGACATTTATGTTAAGTGAAAGAAGCCAAGCACAGACACACAGACATCACATATTCTGACTCATGCATGGGAGCTAACAGAGCAGATCTCATAAAGATAGAGAGTAGACTCATGGTTACTAGAGGCTGGGAAGGGTAAGGGGAGGAGAAATGAAGACAGGTGGATTAGTGGGCACAAATATACACTTAGATGGAAGAAATAAGAATTGTTTTTCAATAGATCAGTAGGGTGACCATAGCTAACATCAAAAGGCTGTACATTTCAAATAGTTAGCAGGGAATAATTTGAATGTTCCTAGAATAAAGAAATGGTAAATATTTAAGGTGATGGGTATATCAACAGCCTTGATCTGATTATACTAATGTTTGGAATTATCACATGAACCCTGAAAACATGTTCATCTATTATGTATTAATTTTTAAAAAGCTAAAAAAAATAAAAACAACTTTCTTAACCTAATAAAGGGCATCTATTTAAAATCACAACCCAGATCATACTTAAAGGTGAAGGACTGAATGTTTTCCCCAAAAATCAAGAACAAGATAAGAGGCCAGGCCCAATGGTTCATTCCTGTAATCCCACACTTTGGGAGACTGAGGGGGGGATCCCTTAAGCCCAGGAGTTGGAGTCCTGACTGCACAACATAGTGAGACCCTCAACTATTTATTTTAAAAAAGAAAAAAAATTTAAACTAATATTTTTAAATAGAATAAGACAAGGACATCCACTCTCACCACTTCAATTCAACATTACAGTGGAGGTTTTAGCCAGTGCAGTTAAGGTACAAAAAGAAATAAAACGAATGTAGATTGCAAAGAAAGAAGTAAAACTGTCTCAATTTGCAGATGACCCAGTCTTACACATCAAAAGTCCTAAGGAATCCACTAAAAAACTTATAGAACTAGTAATCGAGTTAGGCAAGATTGCAAGATAAAAGCCAATATACAAACATCAGCTGTATTCTACACAGTAGCAATAAACAAAAAATGAAATTTAAAAAAAAAATTTAATTTGTAACTGAATCAAAAAGAATAAAATACTTAGAAATGAATTTAACAAAAGAAGTACAAACTTATACTCTTAAAATAATAAAATACTGTTGAAAGAAATTAAGACAAAAATAAACCAAAAGACATCTCACAGTCATGAAGCATAAGACTTAATATTGATAATATGGCAATGCTTCCCAAACTCCTCTGCATGTTCAAGGCAATTCTACCTACTAAAATCCTAGATGCCTTTTCTGCAGAAATAAAATCTGATTCTAAAAATTCATGTGGAGATACCATAGACAGAGAATAGCCAAAAGACAAAGTTAGAGGACTCATAACTTCTGATTTCAAAACTTACTACCAATCTATTGTAATAAAGGCAGCTTAGTACTAGTGTAAGGCAAACATATAAACAATAAAAATTATCACGTTTACATCCCACTACTTTTTGACAAGTACGCCAACATGATTCAATTGAAAGAATCTTTACCAAAAAAATGGTAAAAATAATGAAATTGGATCCCCTCCTTGTAGTACATACAAAAATTGACTCACAATGGACCAAAAATCTAAACATAAGAGCTACAACTATATAACAGAAGAAAATATAGGAGTAACTCTTTACAATCCTGGATTTGGCAATGATTTCTTTGATATGACACCACACGTACTAGCAACAAAAGAAAAAATAGATAAATGAGACATAATTGAAATTAAAAATGTGTTTCAAAGGACACCACCAAGAAAGTGAAAGGACAATCCAAAAAATAAGAGAAAGTTTTGAAAATCATGTATTTGATAAGAAATTTGTACAGAATTTTCTTTTTTTAGAGAAAGGGTCTTGCTCTGTCACCCAAGCTGAAATGCAATGGTGTAGTCTGGGTTCACTGCAACCTCCACCTCCTGGGCTCATGCAAACCGGCCACCTCCACTTCCGGTGTAGCTGGGACCACAGGCGCACACCACCACTCCCAGCTAATTTTTGTAGAGACAGTGTCTCACCATGTTGCCCAGTCTGGTTTTGAACTCCTGAGCTCAAATGATCTACTGGCCTGACCCTCCCAAAGTGCTGGGATTAAAGGCGTAAGCGATTGCACCCAGCCCAGAATTTTTAAAGAACATTTACAAAGGGACGGCGCGGGGCGAGGGGGCGGGGGGGAAGGCTCCTCCCGCAAATGGCAGCCTCTGGTACCAGGGTCGCTCAGTCCATACTCCACCTCGCCAGGACTTCTTACAGCTATCGCCAGTAGTCTGCCACGTCCTCCTTCGGGGGGCCTGGGCAGCGGCTCCGTACATTTTTGGCTGGGGGTCGCTTTTCGCACGCCCAGCATGCACAGGAGTTCCAGAGGCCACGGCGTGTCCGTGCCCTCCGCCCGCTTCGTGTCTCTGTCTTTCTCAGGGGGGGTACATCGGCGGCTATGGCTGCGTCCTAGCCGCATCCGACGAGCTGCTGGCGGGCAACGAGAAGCTCACCATGCAGAACCTCAACGACCGCCTTGGTCTCCTACCTGGAAAACGTACGCGCCCTGGAGGCAGCCAACA